GGATTTTTGGTCAGAGGGGGCCAGCAAAAACCCAGGTGGGGCCAATCCGCCAGTGAGTCGAGACGCAAAGTTCGCGCAAGAAAAAAATTTCCGGACCACACAACATTTTAAATCTCCCCCTCCCCTCTCCCCCGTCGACGACTTTTTCGGTAAAAAATTTTTCTGGACAATGACATTACAATTGCTTTCGTAGCACTTTTCCCGATTTCCGTATCACTTTTTCCGATGCTTCACCACGAAGATTCCGACAACATTAGAGAGTTTGAGCAAGAGAACGAAGTCGAACGACGACGACGTGGACCGTGGTTGAGAATTTTTGCCTGTCTTGCACATTATCTTACGCATTCTGAGTTTAGAGTCAGGCGTGAAGACAGATTAGAGATTTATGTCTAGCTGCTTATGAATGCTGACCCAAATCCTTACCCTGATCAGGACAGAACAGCGAGACATGAATCCATATCTCGCCTTCGTTCACAACGAAAAATTCGCAAAAAATTGGCAAAACTCGCTGTGAACTTCGTTCCGAACGAAGGCAGAAGGACAAAGACGGGATATAGTTTCATGTCTCGCTGTTTTTTTCTGGGTCATGGCAAGAATTAGAGTCAGTATGCATAAACAGCGACACATGGGAGTCTACGTTGAGCAACCACCAGCCCCCTCGGCACCACTGCCGAGCCCGCAATAAAATTCACTTGTAAAAAAACAGATTGGTTTAAACTTCATCTAACTCTCATTTAATACATATTGAAATCATTAGGGTTAGAAAAGGTATGTGTTTCAAGCTGTGTGCCGCAAATAAGCGAACCGATTTTAGGTTTGACACCGATGCCCAGCAAAGCATATATACAACAGAAGTCTTGCATTATTGACAGCATGAAGCTATATAATCAAGGCGTAGCCGGGGCCCCCGGCCCCAGCCCTGGCTACGCCTCTGAGGTTGTAACGTCATCAAGCTAGTCTTGGCCTTGGGTCTGGTGATTATCACGTCTTTCAAAACATATTGACACCGTGGTTCCTTTTTCGGAACACAAACCCAGTTTATATGTTTTGAAAGACGTGATAATCACCAGGCCCAAGGCTAACTTGATGACGTTAATTAAGGGTGCGTGTACGCACGAAAAACATATGCAGATTTAAACTTTTGCGTGCGTTCACACACGTATGAAAACTGAAAAACAGCCTTTAGAGTTACATCACAAGCAATAACAGCTAATTAGCCATTCAGAAGTTGATGAGTGGACTGGTGACGAGTGTTAAATAGTAATCACTAAAAAGACCACTTCAAAATTAGTGAGTATACAAAGATTGAAGACGTTTACATGAATACCCTAATTCGAATAATAATCTTTCGAAAATTGTGAAATTACAGATTAAAAGACTGTTTTTGGGACGCGCGTCCCCAACAACAAAAATTCCAGTACATTTCCGATACTGACATCGCGATTTTCGAAAGCCTTATTATTCGAAGGGTCAATCCCGTTCCCCGAGCCTGCGACGAGATTGTCGAAGGGCATCGACTATTTCGCTGACCTCAGAATGACATTTCGTCAAAACGTTTTTCTTCAAGATTGGTTTAGAAACAAATTTGGAGCAGGGTTAGGTTATGGTTAGGGTAAGGATTAGGGTTGGGGTTAGAGTCGGTGTTTGGAGTAGGGTTAGTGTTAGTAAAACCGTTGCTTTGTTACGTTTTGTCACTCTGAGGCCAGCGAAATAATCTCTTCCTTGTCGAAGGGTATTCATTTCTTAATTTGGACACTTTTTAACACTCGTCCCCAGTCCTCTCATCAACTTCGGAATGCCCAATTCAATGGATGATTCCAGCTTGCTATCGACTAATTTTTGATCTAGACAAAAGAGACGAAATCTATCATTACAGCTCAAAAGAGCACCAATGCTAAAATTAATTAAATTGCAAAGTTTGGTTGCGAAATGTTGTCCGCTAAAATACGAAAAATATAGCCCTGTGAAATTAGCAAATTTTGAGCGATTTTAGTATTACGAGCGGAACAATGCACCACATTATGCCGATCATTATTTATGGCTGGGGGGGGGGGGCTGACACCGACGGGATATGGTTTTCTTGGTTGCTGATCCAACCCCTTACAACTTACAAGTCTAACAAATGTTTTACCTAACCACAAAAATGAATTAAAAAATAAATACCTACCCCTGGCCAAAAACTTTACAAAAGGATACCATTCAGTTGTTACACATGCCCTTTATCACTTCAGTGACACGAGTTTGATCAATGATTGTGCAATATTCTGCAGTCTAAAGTTTCATGTTGTCTTCAGTGATTCTTTATTTAGCTTTGCCAACTAGGGCAGGGTCACTGCAACAGCGTAAATGTACTTGTACAACATGTACTTGTTCTTTGGAGACATTATTTACCTCCTAACAAATCGGAAAATGACAAGATAGTGACTCATATGATAAGAACCGGCACTAGTGCCAGCCATACTTGATTTACTCCTATTGTAATGACATATGACTGTTGACATTGCTTTCTAGTCTTCAATATTTGAGCGAGTCATGCATTGGAAATGACAATACATTTTAGTACCCAACTCTTGAGTTTTTTTTGTTTTTTTTTTCATTTACCCAACCTTTTACACACTCAAAATTTTGTTAGCACAACCCTTTTCTCTTGGCTGCCA